TTTGTTTTTTTCCAGATTTTTACAATTAAAGTATTGCTATAAATGTTATTGTACATAGCTCTAGGTGTGCAATAACAGAGGTTTCTCCAAATATACCTAGGAGTAGAATCACTGGGTGATACTATATGTGGCATTACTTAATTTCTGGTCTCTGAATAGTCTTTATAACCAGTTTACCACATCATCCCTGCATTTAAGATGATTTTAAAAATTTTTATTGGCATTTTTAGTTATCTTTAGGGAGGAAGGTTTATGAAGATTCCTCTTCTGTCATACTGCTTGGAATACGCAGTCCAGCTATTTTATGTTTTTGACGTGAACTTTTCTTGCTTGTAGCTCCCAATATATACTGCACCACCTCTCCAGTCTAAATATGTTGAAGAGCAGCCTGGTCATTTACAAATGAGCTTTGCTTCCATCCGCACTACAGCTGGTCGTTATGTCGCCTGGTGTGAGGTAAGTAAATTCTGACCTCTGTTTCTGACCTGGGCCTGTTCACCCCTAGTTACGCAACCTGGTGGTCCCCCGCTCCCTGGAGGTCACCATATTGATGCTGAGCTTAGTGTGGCAACCCCCATCGGCATAGTGCACTATAGCCCCAACTCCTGGGTTTAAGCGATCCTCCCACCTCAGCCTTCCAAGTAGCTGGGACTACAGGTGCGCGCCACCATGTCCAGCAATTCTGATAGTGGTTTAATATCAGGGGTTTCTCATGAATTGTTCCAGTTACCTGTTGATGTGTAACAAACTATCCCAAAACTTGGTGGCTTAAAACAGCAACTGTTAAATTATGTCTTATGATTTTGTGAGTCAGAAATTTGATGAGAATTCAGACAGGTTATTCTTCTGTTGCATGTGTTATTGACAGAGGTAACCGTGGTATTCATTTGGCAAACGGGCTGGTCTAGAGAGTCCCAGACAGCTTCATTCACATCTCTGACACCTTGTCAAGGATGGCTGGAAAGCTGGGCTCAGCTTAGATTGTTGACTGGAGTATCTACACGTGGCTGTTCAAGTATGGTGGTCTCAAGTTAGATAACTTACATGGGCAGTTTGGGGCTCCTAAAGGCAATGTTATAAGAGGCCCTAGGTAGAATTTGCCAAGTTTCTCAGCTGTTCAAGAATGTTACTTCTATAGCATTCTATTGTTAAGTCTGTAAGACCAGTCCAGTTTTAAAGGGACGGAAATTAGACACGACCACTCAGTAGGAATAGCGGCAAAGAATTTGTGGCCATATTTAACCTATGACACTAATGCACAGATTAAAGTAGTTCATCAAGTGTTTATGTCACCTAGCATGTACAAAACGTTGTTCACTTTTTATGTGAAGTTCTGAGATTACTTCTGAATTGTTCCTTATTCGGCTAAGCAAAATGTTGTTCACTAATTGGGGTTAGTTTATAAGACCATTCTGATTACAGCCAGCTATTGGGAAAAGTAGAATTTACATGACTTTAATGCTTAGCCTTCTATCAGCAATATCCAACAGCAGAGTGGTAGAGTAAGCTGATACAACCCTAATGTCTCATTATCATCACATAAACATAGTTGTGTTAGCATCAACAACTCCAATGTCGGTGTTTTCATCATTCTGACCTTATAACCACACAACTTTTCCCCAAATATAGCCTATCCAGTTGTGAACCTTTGTGCTTTTAAAGTTTCTAATCCATTCTTTTTAAAAAGAAAATTCTAATGGGCTTATGAAAAATATCCATAGGTGAAATACCAAATTGATTAACTCTGGTGATTCCAGCTGATATTTCGAACATCTGATGAATGCATGATGTTATTTTTGAAAACTCATGCTTGTCATACAATTCTAATGGTACTAGTTGTACTATGCTGTCTTAATAGTTTGATCTCAGAGGGCAATATCTTAACTAATTATGGTCTGAATCATGCCCCTCAGGCTATTATGCCAATAGCTGGATGAGTCAGACTTAAATCTCCTGAGACTTAATTTTCCATAGTGTTCTCAAATTTTTCTTCAGAGGGGTAAATTGTTCCTGAGCGATCTTTAAATTGCTATTGTAACTCGCCCAATTTAAGACTAAAATAATGTTTTATTCTGTTAATATGCTGAAATGAATAGGTTGAAGAAAGGTACTTTAAAATGCATTTCATCTTCAGCGTAAACAACTTTTACTCTCTAATTTTCCCCAAAAAACGTAATCTATTCTTTAAAAATTACATCTGACTCAAATTACATTCCACATTAAACCTAGAATCACGTACCTCTAATTCAATTCCTAACTCCTACTTCTTAGTGTTTTGAAATTTAGTTAACAGTGACCCCTAGTGGTAAAAATGAGTTCCTAAACCCAACTAATGAAAATTTTCCAAAAGAAGTGACAGTTTTCTTCCTTAATGGTTAAATGATTTCTAATAACTGGTCAATAGGTATTTTAACTTTGAAGGTGAAATTTTCTTGAGACAGTCTCTAAAGATAAGTATCTCAGTGTCGGTTAGGGTTTGTGGTGGTTTGTATAGCTTTAAACCAGGATGAACCTCTGCATCTCTGATCACCGTTGAAAAATAAAATTACAAACCCAAGATAATCTCTATAGCAATAACTTATCTCTTCACTGTCTAATATAATAATTTCTATTTTCTCTGCTTTGAAAATCTCTTTTGTTCTTGCTTTATCCCATGGTTTCACACCAGCTAGTTCAGAGGAGACCATATGTTTGGATTGTGTTTTCTGGTTCCTTCAATAGATTACAGCATGACTATGGGTAAATTATTTCGTGACTTCCTTTTTCTTCTGATGTAAGTGAGATAATACCTATTACTCAATAAATATTTATAGCACTCTTTTTTGCAGTATAATAAATTAGTTAGAAATAGCTAACAGGGAAGATTTGCTTTGAAGCTTTAATCCCTTTAATGGGTTAATATAACCTTGATTTATAGAGAACTTATGTTCCTATTTAAAACAGGATGGACATTAGTCTATATAGGATGATTTCTATTCTGAGATAAATGTCTTTATTTAGATTTTTTTCTTGTTCTAATATACACTAAGAAAAAGGCAGACGATGAAGCCTTTTTTTAAGGCTTTATGTTCTTTTTTCCCCTCTACAAATGATTATGTTGTTGTATCTTTACTGATCAGATGTTGCTTCTAAGGTGAAATATATCCCCCTGCTTGCTTTATTTGACTTCCACTCATTTTTCTAAGCCACTATTAAATAAGATGATAAATCTTTATATTTTTTAATATCTTTTCTGTGAGCTGCTCTGATTATTTTATAGGCATTACTTTATCCATCTATATGAGGAAAATGGTAAACAAGTATTATCCATATTAAATAGAATGAAAGGCAAGAAATGAAGACAAGCTAAGTTAAGCAAGTATCCTCACAGTGAATAAATAAGAAAGCTGTATTTTAGATTTAGGTGCAATGCTAAGTCAACCTTTTAATATATCTCAGAAATGTAGGCTATTTTATTTGATTATCACCAGCTTTAGAAATGCAAATGTCTTCCTCCTTGTTTTGTTTAGGGTGTTTATGTCTTTGTGAAAAATGGGATAATGGATACAGTACAATTTGGAAAAGGTAGGTGAGTGAACCACCTATAATTAGAAACATTCTATTCTGTTTTTAAGTTACAGTGTTTAAATGTGAGAAAAATAGATATGGTATGTTTTCTATTATACTTTTACCAATTCGGAAGATACTTTGTATAGCAGCTTATTGATAATAATAATAAAGCACGATTATCTACCATTTATTTAGCAATTATTATATGCTAGGGCACTGTGCTAAACATTTTATATAAATTTATCTAATTTAATTTTTGTCACAATTCTGTGAGTGTTGGTATTATAATTATTCCCATTTTACAGATAAGGAAACAGGTTTAGAAAGGTTAAATAGGTCATGAAGGTCACATAGCTAGTAAGTGGCAGTGCCAGGATTCAAACTGAGGTCAGTTTTAATTACAAAGTCCACATAATATACTCATAAAGCATAAATTTAAAATATGTCTCCATTGTTGCTAATTGGTTTAAATAAGAGCTATTTAATGTTAAAATACTAAATATATAATATTTTGCTATGAGTTGCTAGGAAACATTATAGCAATCATTCACCCTGGAATATTTAAGCTAATGTTGGAGAATAATTGTATTTGACTCTTTAGCTTGTTAATGGTGTTTAGTAGCAGATACAGCTTCATAATATTCTTGGCTTATGGCAGTTTTCAAAATAGATATGTGTGGGAGACAGAATGATTAGCTAAAAATTTAAATGTCTCCATGAAGTTGATGACCTGTAATGGAATTATCATTTATATATTAGGAATTAATTCAAAATTATATCCCATATTAATCCTGATAAATATGACTAAATATACAATTGCCATTAAATAATTAACTATGATAGAAGTGTATTTTTATAACCAGAAACAATTTAAATACATAGAAAGCCAAGAAATCTGGACCTTGCTTACTCTTCATCTGCTTTTTATCTAGGCTTATTTCTCAACCTGATTATTGGTTTTAACCAAGACCAGTGGCTGCTCTAAGTTTTTTGGAGAGTAATGGCAACCAAAGTCCAGTGGCTGCATATATCCTTAAATTATTATTTAGAGCTCATTAATAAAGTATCTATTTCACTTCTTACTGGAAGCTACCAGTATTTCAACAGATAAGGACAGAAGCACATTAATTATAGGGCTATAATATATATACAATCAGGAATTTACCTTATAGTAATCCATATTAAGATGTGCCATTTAGCATCATATTTCATTAAAGAGTAATAATGACCTGTACCATTAAAAAATAAACATAATTAAATCAACTATGGAAGGCTTTATTTTTAACAAGTTAATATAACTAGCTTGTAATTATTTTTGCATTTTAATTAAAATAATTTATATCTTTATATATAACTGAAAGTAATGTTACATACAGTACATAAGTTATTTACAACCGTGCAGTAGTGTGTTAACAGAATAAAATATCTAGAAGGCAGCAAAAGTACATTGTGAATGTATATAAAACTTTACAGTGTTTACAGATTATTGGCTCTGTATGTGACCAGCTTTTCAGGTTGCCGGTCATATCATTTTGTATAGTTCTTTTGAAGGGTGTTTAAACCATCCACTATTAACTTAACAAATCTCTTTAAACCTTCTGTATTATAAATATATAGAATGTCTAATAGTAGCTAGTCATTTATATTAATTCTCATCTAATTTCTTGAGATGCATATGTCTATCTGAAGAATCCGCCTCAAGATTTTCTTCCGAAAATGGGAGTGATTACAGTGTCAGGATTGGTGGGCTTTGTTTCATCAAGAAAGGGTAAGGTTTTAAAATATATGTGTTCTTTCTTTTAATGTCATCATATTAGTTTCTGAATTTTACTGTTGTGAGAAAACCTTATATGCTTTATTGGATGTTATCAGGATAGGCTACTGTAAAATTTTTAGATTCTATACTACAGCATGTTTACTTTTATGAAGACTTGGTGTTTTCAAAACTATAGCTATTCCAAAATCTGTTCAGCATCATTAGTTATTAGGGAAATACAGATTAAAATCACAATAGGATACCATGACATAGCTATTACAATGTCTGATATTAAAAAGACTGACCATATCAACTGTAGTCAACAATGGAAAGCAACTGAAATTCTCATAAAATAGAGGAGAATAGCAGATATCAGAGTACTTTGTACTTAGTATGGGTAAATATCATGAAACTTTTGTTTCAGCAAAGAGTGTATGTGTGATAGGTAATAGATCATAATGTAAATTTGTTCTTTATTATGAGTCATGGTCAAAAAAAGTTTGAAAGCTGTTAGTTTAGCCTGTTATGCTAAAGATAAAAATCCAGAGAAAGGAAATCACTCAATGGTTCATAGTACATAGTACACAGCTATTAATAGTTAGTGGCTATGTCTAGAGTCCTTCTCTAATTATGGGAATAGGGATGTTGAATCCAAATGAAATTTATTTTCTTGCAGAGTAACTTCTCATATGAGTTAAAGAGAGGATGAATGTAAGTCTTTTTAATCTTTAAAATGACACATAAGGAAAACCACCACCTACGAATTTAAGGATTAGCACTTAAGGGAATTTCATTGAGTCAAGGGAGCCTATATCTAGAGATATTAGGACTGTAAAGTCAAGAACTAAACTATAAATACTGGAATAATAGTGAGTAGGACTAGAGTAAAGGAGCAACTTAGGCCATGTTTTAATATACCTAGCCCCTCTTTCCCTGTATCACACACACAAAAAAGCAGTCTAAATCTAAACTAGAGGTTGAAGCAGCCTGCTTACCCCCTAGCCCAAAGCTCAATCTATTGTAGACATGACTGTAAAAGTCTTCCTTAATAATAATTAAACCAGACAGAGAAATATCTCTTGTTTTTACTTTCCCTAAATTACAAAGTTGCCTGCAAACAATGCCAGGTATTTTTCACCTTAGTCTTTATTGATATACCACGTAGGCTTTTTAAATTAGGGGTCGTAAAAGCAATTACAGATAATAAAAGTACTTACCTCAATTTAAAAACCCATCATCCAGTTGCCCAGTTCATATTTACAGAGTCCAAGATACCTAAACAAGCATCTAAGATACATATAAGATATGTATTATTGTGAACCAACAGTTTGCTAGAACTAAGCTATGGCGTAGAGTGATGTATTTCAAACTATTCTGCAGAAACTAGGATATGGGGCTATCATGGAAAAGCCACACAGGCAGGGCTTAATATTGTGCCTCCCACCCCCAGGTTAATCAGAGCAGCTTTAAGTTTATAGGCTGTATATATTGAAGTTCCCAATGAGATTCTATTTGGAAGATATTTTTGAAGGGAATTTGCTGTCAAAAAATGTATGAAAATGACTCTTAAATCCTTGGTTAAGACACTTTTGGAAATGTCTTAAGTCAAGTTACTTGCAATTATTACTACCTCAGTATTCTACATCAGTGACATGAAGGAATTATATACCTTTTAAAGCCCTTAGCTGATTAGTTGAGTCATTCTTCTTTCCTAAGTACTTAATCATAAAGGGACATATAAAAGAGAATCTATTTTACTTTAACATGGCATCACAAACACAGTAATTGGTTAATTCTCTGTACTATCATGCTTTATTAGATACTTGAAAAACTGTGATTACAACTTTGGGTTTCCTAGGACTGGGAAAATACCTAGCTTTAAAAAAGAAGAAAATCATCAGTTCCTTTTGTGTAGGTAATCATAAGTATTAGATTGAGAATACTTTTCTTAAATTGGACATGACAGCTAAGGGGTATTAACTGAATTGAGAATTCTTAAGGGCATTTTAGCTTCCATCTTGATTGGTATTAGTACCTAAAGACTAATTTAACAGAATGTGATGGCTTAAAGGGAAGCAAAGAAAACACTGTGGTATAAGACCATCAAGTCTCTGGTGGCATCTATTTGGAGTTTAATAATTTGTTTGAATTTTATAGGTTCGAGGTTTAAGAAAATTACTTACCCTCTGGGACTGGCTGCTTTAGGAGCAACTGTTTGCTACCCAATTCAGTCAGTAATAATTGCTAAGGTAAGTTCTTTTCAAGTGATAGTAACATTTCAGTATTTGCTTAAACTCTGTGTGACAATATTTAAATGTTACACAGCACCTGCAACATTTAATTTTCACAGACATATAGTTGGTATCAACTCTTTTGTTGGCAATATGACATTAACATCGCAGTATGGTAAATGCCATTTTTAATTACATGATCACCACAAATAAATAGAATGAGTTTGTTTAAATATAATTCTACAATATAAATGCAGGTTTGAAGATTAAGTTCAGAGACACTGAATTAGAATTTATGGGGAGAAATACTGCTCCATTGTTAAGCTATATAAAATTGAATTTTTAATTAGCAGAAGATTATACTTACTGGGAGCTGTTCAGCACATTAACATAATACAAGAAACAACCAATTGATTACAGAAGCTTCCGAAAGTAAAAAAAAAAATACACACATATACAAACTCAATTTTGAAACCACCTAGAACTAAGAAACACCTTCCATAAATGCTTATTATAGTTGTTTTGTCACTTTCTTACAAGCTTACCTACAAATCCAAAGATTCTCTTAATGGTTTAAACAGTTTTTGTCAGTATTTTATTTTATTTTTAATACATGTACAGATTGAGGAGGAGAGCTTTGGAATATACATTTTTCTCCTTTCCTTCTCCCCTTAATTACCAACAGTTAACATTTCCCCCTCATACTTGAAACAGTATATAGTGTTACCAGAAGGTGTTTCTATATTTGTATTCTCATTACTGCATGTCTTTAATTATTGATGTAGATAAAACTGCTTGTTCAGTATTTTGAGAATGTCAGGATATAACATATGATGTAGTTTGTGATGTGTTCAAGCTATAAAAGCTTTATAACAAAGGAACAGAGTATTATTCATTAAATCTAGTTACATGTGAGATGATTGATAACATAACGGTATTTTAAAAACTCTTTTCTAAGAATGTACATAGGAATTAGTCACTTAAATTGATAAAATATTAATGCTGAAAGAAAACTTTGAGCTCATTTAATTCAACTTTTGTATTTTCTCATTTACTAATGAGGAAACTGTGGCCCAAAGAAGTTTCACAGTGACTGACTTGCCCAGGATCACACTCGACTTCATGTTTCTTGTTTCCCTGTCCATTACTCTTCCTAGTGGATGATGCTGCCCCTGATTCTACTTTTTTTTTTTCATTTAGAGTGATGACTTACTGTTTTTTTTTAAATGATACCTACTCATCTTTAAATAATTAAGCATTACAGAAAAGTTTAGGAAAAAAAAAAAACAACTAACCACCAAATGCTTCCATTTATAAAAATATCATTGTCAACATTTGATGGAATGTTCTTCTAGACATCTTCCCATGCATACAAACAGATAGCAAAATGGATGGGTGAATAGGCAGATAATAATGAGATCATGGTATGTATCTTATTTTTAAAAATGAAGTATTAAGTTTAATTTTACTTTAACAAACAGAAAAACAAAAGAACTTCTGAACTTCAAATAAAAATTTCTGAGATGCTATTATTAATTCCTAAAAGTTCTTCTAGGGTAAATAATGATAATTACTTAAATTCTTAGAGTTGAAATTCTTGTCATATGTAATATTTGGCAGATTAGAATACATATATAG